CCGGTTAAACTACCAGAAAAGAATTTTTTAATTTTTAAGTCTTAACTAATATTAAAAAAATATTATAAAAGTAACTTTGGCTTCGGATATTGAAATAGAATTTAAAAACTATAAGTTAACCTTTTGTTGCAAAGGGAAAAAAACTTCTTCTTTGATGTTCTTTCAAACTAAACACATTTTTTTCAGCAAATGAAGGCAATCAAATCGTAGCAACTTTCTTAATAAATTATAGTTCCTATAAAGGGAAGCACCTTTAAAGAAAGATCGTCATTTAAAATCGATTTAATTCCTAAGGTAGCCTTGTGACTGTCCTTTTTCTTTATGTGTACATACTGGGGTACTGCCGGGGAGATAGGCTGGACGCGGATTCCAAAGGGTATAAATAGAATAGAACGCTTTCTGATGTCTGGCCATTTGGCCAGTTACACAGAGTTTTTGGGTGAGGGCTTTGTTTGGTTCACGGTGTGGGGTAAGCGGCATTGATTTGGTTAGACCGCCACTAAGCCAACTGATTTCTATGGTTTGCATGTGCTTCATGAATGCGTTTGGCTTCCAAGGAAAGAATGCGCAAATCAAAATATTGGTATTTGAATTAAAGCGAAGCTTTTGACTCTACCGCGGCTCAAATGCATTAAATCAACGCTTAATTGATGGCTGATTGGGCTTACCGTTTTTCACACACCGACTGAAAATTCAAATAAAACCGTTTGGCAGATAATCTTTAAAACTCCAGAAAATATGCGCTGTGATACTTTGTTTTATTGCTGTTTTTCCCAATAAAATATTCTTTATTTTGTTCAACGATTCTGCAGAGAGTCGATCTTAATTGGAAAACTATAAAGCAATGAAAATGTTCTAAAGAAACAATTAAAGCAGGGGTTAAATTGCTTGAGTGAATGGCTTGGCCAAAAGTGGCCTTAACCCTTAACCTTTTTGTTGGCCCTTGGCTTTTTCCCTTTTTTTTTTTTTTTTTTTTGCTAAGCAGCCTGCACAAAATGCTCATAATTTGCTTGTTTCAGTGCACTTGAATTAGACGTGCAAGTGTGTCATTTTGAGCCATGTCCTTGCAGCTGCGACACTTGTGAAGTCGTTTGCTTGGACTGTGTAAACAAAATGAGCGAGCAGTAAAGAGTAGTAAATGCATTAATGGATGTGGATGCCAGCCAAAGCCTGGCCCACCTGCTCTTGCTCCGCCTTATCTCCTCAGCCTCCTCCGTGTGAGTGGGCCAGGTGCTCTTGACATTGCCCCGAGTGAAAGGAGGCTTCAGTGTTTACGCTGCGACATGGCGAATGCTTCAGCCTGGAGAGTTCTTCTTCGTCATCGTCAACGTCCTCGTCCTCATGCTCGTGCTCGCCGTCTTTCGTCTTTGATTGCGTGCTCGTCTCACTGGGATCAGAATACATATGTAGGTATATAGTATATGGTATATCACATATAGTGGGGACTCGTCTTGGGCTCGTTAAGTGTTGCCTCCTTATGGCATTTCATGCTATTTTAAATGCATTTGAATAAATAAACACTTGCACGCTCGTAAAATGTTTATTACGTGGGCAAATGTTTGTGTCTGGCCTCATTAGGAATGAAAGCCGAGGGCCGGGGGACATTGCGAGTGCAGCAAACTGCCGTTCGCACTTAATGCATTTTTAATTTAAAGCCGACACCCTAGACGTTCAAATTGCATCGAAATTGCTTTAATTGAGTGGATTTGCATGCGAGATTCGATGCAAACACAATCCGATTCAAAGTGTCCCCGAAGGCAATTCAATGGCACTTTAGGTGTGGCCAAGATTGGGCACAACTTTTTTTGCCCTTCCCTTTCCCGGAAGTAAGGAAGTGCGTTTTAATTGATTGCCCATCAATTATGCACATTGCGCGGCGCACGTGTTGTATGCGTGATATTGCAGTTGGTCTTTGATTAACTCACTGCCGCAAATATTTGCCGGCAAATCTGTTTAAATGTTTGCCCCCCAGAAGGATAACGAAACTATTATATTTGCATACGACCTGCCCCAGAAGCCCACTTCTCTTTCCTCTCGTCTCGACTGTCAAATGCTGAGCAAACATTGCAAAGACTCATGTATCTCGACTTTAGCTTGACACTTTAAGTGGAAGTTATGCAAATAAATAAATGTAGATTGCCTTGACAGACAGGGAGATACATATATGGATAGAAAGACACATGCAGAGTGGAATGACAGTTATGCCTGGAGTGAGGGCAAACATACAAAGCTAATTAAAGGATGTGGATAAGCTACTCCTTATTGACAAATGCCTTCAAATGACCGATTCTCTTTATCAAACTGACTCAGTGCCAGCCCGCTGGGCCGCATAATTATAATGAATCCTTTTTGTCAGCTAACTTAACCCTAATTTGTACCAGCTCGCATTATCCATTATCCCTGGGCGTAAACACATTGCCATTGTCTTGCACATACAGGTGCGAAAACGTTTGAGAGTCGTCGGTGCAAAAAGTCGCCGCCTGCTACGTCTGCTAATTAAGCACCAAAATGGAAAATGTCGAGGAGTCGAGGTGAAAAACTCAACTATTTGTGCATTGTTGCTGCGACTTTTGTGCACAAAGCCAAAGCAGATGCTGCCAGAGCCTCAGATTCATCCTCATAGCCACGCCCAGTCTAAAACCCCCCCTTTTTTCCCAGCTGATGCGGGCAGCTCGCGAGCTGTGAAAGCTTCAGCCCTGACCACATTTTAATTGGGCTAAGCACACGCCATGTGCTGCCGCTGCCTGTGTGACGTGCTATTAGTGAAACTTTTAAATGAGTTAGTTAAGTAAAGCGGGTTACGTTATTATGAGTTTTGGCTTGGACATTACAAAAGCTTGTCAGCTCTGCCTGAGCTAGGGCTTCCACACGCTTTCATTCTTCGCCTAAAACAATATGTACGGACCAGAGTCCTTGCCAGGGGGAAAACTTAGGAAGGTTTGAGGGGACTTTACCCACCTTCACGTTGTATTACAGCCCAGGGATGTTTCTTTGTTTTGCATTAAGAGTTGGGATATCATGTAGCATGCTTCTTTAAAGATCATTTCAAATTTATTTTTGGTCCCTGTTTGTTTTTATGAAAGAGTGAAAGCTTTTTATGCTAAAAAAACATATTGACTTAGACTCAGACGCAGAAAAAATATTGATTTTAAATGCAAAAAGTGGACCTAAAATTAGGTAATATGGCCAACATTTTGTCTCAAAAAATGAAACACTAAATTAAATTCAATCATAAGGGTATAAAAGTAGTCCAAAACAATACTTTAAAAATGGATATAATATAAGTATATGATGTGTTACTTAGTGTGAAACACTTGCATTGAAAACATTTTGTCGAATAACAATAAAACTACAAAAAGCAAATTAAACTAATATAAATTGATAGTAGTAAGCTTTTTTTGACATGTTTTCTAATTTTGTTGAAATTAAACAACTCTCTTGTTGTTCTATTGAGCTTTAATGTCACGTCCTGTATTAAATTATATACGAAATGTATTTGTTCTGTTACAGTTTAAGCTTAAACTAAACCTTTAGACCGAATAATTTGAAACTAAAATAAGCCAATGCCCACATTTGCTAAAATAATCCAATGACAAAATTTGCTTATTTTGTTGAAATCAAATAAATATGTTATAGTTAGTTGCCTTGTATAGGTTTTTCGCCACCATCAATAGCAGGCTGAATTTAATGCGAATGTTCTATGCGTCTCACATTCGATATTTTATTGGCGCAAACATTATTCGGGTGATTATTCGTCCAAAGTGGGCGCAATCAATTTTCAATTAGTCGCATGCAATAATTTCGAACACATTTCTTGAAAGGCAAAAAGGCCGTTGGTAATTATTGCAAATTATATGGCACCGAACATTTGTGTATAAATGCGAATCAGTATTGGCGTATACGAGAATTGCAGTCATTCCAATCGAAAATACTTGAATACAGCAAAGAAATGGAATGCGGCGAAATGAGCGAGTTGGTGGGAGGGCGAAAAAATATTATTCAATTACGCATCATGTCCAGGACAATGGTTACGACGAGCATAAAAGCCGTCTTCCCATAAATACACCAAGCCGCCCCTTCAGTCAGCCTCCAATGTGCTGGCCGTATGGTCGTAAATTCAAGTAATAACAGTCGTGTGGATCGCGCAGGAATACTCATAATAGTTTCGTCCCTTAAGCGAATGTTTCAACTTTGATTTCCGAAATTAAATCAATGTGTGAATGGTTGGTGCAAAAAAAACAGCATCGCATTCCATCGCACAAAAAGAAACAAAATGTCACGACATTTCCGAGGAATACTTCTCCTTGCCACATTCCTGATTGACCAGAAAAATCGATAGAAACCGTATGCCTCAGAAAATTAGCAGGGAGCAAACGCCCATGGATATTTTCACCTGAGGGGTTGGACTGCATTGATAAAACGGCCGCCTGCCCACAGGTCATTCCGTGAGGGAAATTTACATAAAATTCAAATAAAATAAAACGACAAACGTAATAATCATTAGGCGGCTCTCCTGGGTGCAGTCGACACAGGACACTGGACAGATGCCTGCAATTGGGAGTTTGGTAAGGAAGCTGACTTATTTATGGAGTTTCCATGCTAACGAACCACTCGCAGAGAATTAATTTAGTCCCTGATAAATAATACCTATGGGTCGGCCATAAATTCGAGACCATTTAAGATATCTACAAGTCAGCTATACTAAACGTAGATTTTTTATTTAATTTTAACACTAATATTTTGTTACTCGTGAGTTAAGAAATTAAAGTCCAAAATTGCGTTCACCTTAGAAATGTTATTATTTATTAATGAGAAGCTCAGATCTGAACATTCTTATATCGATGATTACTTTAATCTTTAAAACTGTAAAGCATTTTTATCATCACCAAAAAGACCACCGGTTGGATAATAAATATTTAAAAAAAATCCTAGATACTCTTTAAGTATAGGCATTTAAAATAGGTAACCTATATGTAAAATTGCTAAAGATTAATGACATCTTAGTTTCCAATCCACTCCTGCAGGGCAATCTTCTGCTGTTCGATTTGTTCACCCATCTTCTGGGTCATGGCGAACTGGATGAGGATAAGGAGATAGTTGACCAGAATTGTAGTGAACTGATTATATAAAACGAGTTAATTTCTTTCGTGTAATATTCTGCACATTACCCACCAGTCCGATGACCCGACGGTTGAGGACGACCCCGAGGCCACTGGTGAACTCGATCTTGGCCTGCAACTGCCAGGACATCAAGGATTTGACCAGGGGTCGCAGCGAGGTCGACTGGGGGAAGCAGTTGTCCATCTGCTCGGCGAGTCGAAGACACTTTCGAGCGTCGGAAATTGTGCGATCGCAGTAGAAGGGTGCAATCAAAAGCTTGTAGAGCGGCGGAATCATGCAGAGAGCCACGTATCCTAGCATTCGATATCTGCTCATCTGATCCTCCCCATCCTCTTCCTGCTGGTCAGGTGCGCCTCCTCCGATTCCCACGGACTGGCCAAACAGAATGTACAGCTCACTGGTGCTCATGGCTAGATCGTGGGCTATGGCTGACCAAAGACTGAAGGCATACACCCTGTTGATTTCCTGGACGAGGTAGTGCAGCTCCTGTACCATAGACACCACCTGGCGTATACGCAATTCTCGAACTTGCACCTGCGGAAATCGCCATTCCAGAAACTTCGGGCTGAGCAGCTGCTGCAGCAACCGGAAACGGATGCCCAGCATTTCGGCCAGATTCATGTGCACATATCCCGTGAAATGTGGTCCTCCTGTGACAATCGCATAGCAGAAGGCACATAGCAGGAAAAGAGCTCGGTCACCACTGGCCACCTGGATGGCAGCACAATTGATGGCCACCAAATAGATAGATGTGACCACAGCCAGCATTACTATGTTCTTTCTCAGCATCTTTCTGTAATTGAGATTGGCTCCAAAGTCTCCAATCAGCCTGCAGTCCAAGGCAGCCAATCTTAGATAGATTCCCAAATGGCGGTGTGCCGATATTTGCAGGGAAATCACAGTGGCCACAAAAACGAAAGTGGACATGACCAATTCCAGGACTGCAATGCCCAGGACCAGACTATCGGCTTTCATCAGACGTTCTTTTACATCCTCAACGGCCAGAAGGGCGCTCAGGGAGCTGAAGAGACCCGTTAATACCATTATGGCCACTGCCAGGGAGTAAACCCTCATCCACCGTCTGATATTGAAGTGCGGTCCGTGCCCGCTGCATCCCATCGTGAACTGCACCCCACAAATGAAGGCGGCACAATCGAAGACCGTTTCCGGTTCGCGAAAGAGGTACAACACGGCCATCCCACAGGATTACTGTTGTCAAACTAAAGTTCTATTTTGTACAAAAATCCAAAAAGCCGATTTGTATATTCTTGCACTTAAAGTAATGCCTATGAGTTTGACTCATTAATTATATAAAAATGTCCATACACCTAATAACAACAAGAATATTATAAAAGAAAATAAACTGTATCTCAATTACATTAAAACAAAAAACTGTTTGAAAAAAACAACGATTTTACTTCATTGTTTTATATGTTTTATTTTAATGTTTAAACAAAGATCACTAAATTAAGTTGATTATAAGTTAAATTTTTTTATTTTTAATTTTTGTAATTGTTTATTATTTATAACTTTAGAGTAAAAGTCTGCATTCATTTGCTGTGCATATTTTTTACAAATGAGTTACAGCCATTAAAGCAATATAGTAATTACCTTGATAACTTTTCTGATAACTTTTGACAAGTGCTTTTCCCAATTTATGAACAATTTATCATGTCCAATTGCCTATGGTATGCAATCTCGGTAAAAGCGGTAACCATAAACATGTTTTGAACATAAACCAGTAAGAATATAATGTTCGAGTGTCCCGACTAGCCAGTACTTACTGACCTCTTTCTAAATAGGTTAAGTACCCAAATAGATATTCTTAGTTGTGTGTTTGCAATTTGGCTTAACCTTACTGCCGAAAAGTTTCGGAGTTAATATAGATTTTATGGCTCCATAGATCTACAGAGGAAAAATTTAGTATGGTAAACAAATTCAGCAACAGTACCGGAAATGCCATTTTTTGTTTGTTCAAAAGTAGCATTTTGCAGAATAAACGACCGTTAGCGCAAAAACTGTCTAACCAAATTAATCGAAAAGTTGAATTTCAATTAAATTGGTTTTGTGGCGAGTTACTTGTTTGATAAATTTGGAAAATAAAACTACTGAAATCGAAATCGAATAACTTAATTTCCTCAGCCGGGAAAACAAAGTGAAAAAGCAGTCAGATTAAAGACCATAATCCAAGGGATTATGGCCAAGCTGGGAAAAGTTGTTAATGCCCGGTGACAGAGCTCAACCCTTCAAACTGGGCCAGTTCGGTGATATATAAGGCATGATTCACAGCTTGCCAAGGAAGGTGAAATCAACAGAGATGTGGGCCAGTTGGTGGGTCGCATTTGTTGGCTTTAATTAATAAAACTTGATTAACGGGAATTTTATGATTGTCCAAATGGTAGCAGGTGGCAATCAATCATCGCCTTCGCCCGTCCACTCTCGTCGCTGTTAATTATTTTGCATTAAATATTTATGAAATTCCCGAAAGAAAGTCGCGCCAAGGGACAATTCAGCTGGGAAGAAGTGTAAAATTAATTAGGCTGTGTCCGGATGAAAAAATGTCAAATGATTGCAAATGACAACCGAATGGAATGGAGTCGGTTAATAAATTGTTTGTTGCACATTGTGGTTCAGTGCACATGGACACAGACATAAATAAATTCGAACACGAAATTATTTATGCGCAACTGTTGATTTTCTGGCTGATTAACCTCTGGGAGCTTAACTAGGAAATAAATGTTATAAATGAAATGCATAAGCAAGTGATGCTGGAATAATCTGCATGAACTCCGCCCCAAATCAGTTAATGGAAACTATTTACAGCGGTCGGGAGTACAATCCTGTAATTAGTGTTTTTTGCAAATTGTATTTATTATTTATCGCCTTCCGCCTCAACGCACAGCCAGTAACATATGCATCCACATTTGCATTAACAATGGCAATTACCAAATCCAATCGGATCCAATTTAATTAAATTTACTTGGCTCAAGGGCCGTAGGCCTGTACTTTTTAGGATCTCCCCCGTACTTTTCCGGCCATTTGTCCTTGTCAATCGCCAACGCGCCAACTCCTTTTCCACACATTCACACACATCCACACACATCCTGACAGCTGGCTGACTGGCTGACTGACTGACTGATGAACCGCCTGATTGACTCACTGAAATGTCCGAAAGTAAAACAACACCGGGTCTCAAAAAAGGAAATCACATCTCCGCCCATATGGATTCAATTAACGCTAATTTAAAATGCCAACATATCTGGAGAGGACTACCGAAAATAGGAAAAATGGAAAATTCACAGTCAGTTTTCTACATGACCCCCATCAAAATTTCGTTGTCAGTGGTTCGGGTTTGTCTCTCCAAAGGGCAAAATCGGCAAAAACAGAAAGGACAACCGTTCCTTGTCAGCCTTGATTGAGGCCAATAAGTGAGCCAAATCAAATTTTGAGTTTCGAGTGTTTTAAAAAGGTTTATGAAAAAGCCAGCTTGAAGTGGTCGTAACCATGATCGAAAGGAAAAATATTTTAAAAATAGTGTGTCAGTTTTTTAGGGTATACATTCTGTTCTACACATATTCCAATACCTCTGAGCTTCAGATTGGGGTTAATCAAAACAAATTATTTCCCAAAATTTGACTTTCCATTTCGAAGCTTACGTTTGTAAAACTCTTTTTTAGCTAAAGAATAAAAAAATATTTGGTTTTTCTTTTGACGGGTTAGTTATTACCCAAGTTTTGTGTCGTATACAAATATGAATAAGTAGGTAACATTCCATAGTTTTTTCCTCAGCCAGGAACTGAGTTTACCATGAGTTTAAAAGCTGGAAACCAAATTGGCAATAAGAGAAACCCATTTGTAAGCAATTGCCCGACTGAGTGCGTCCTAATGCTGCTCACAATTAAATTAAATAACACCATAATTAATTACTGGCCACGCACACACTCACGTCACTTGATTTGCTGGCCAAGAAGGTGCTAATGTCCGGGCCCATTCATTGTGGATGGTGTGCGTGAGTGAAATAAAGAATGATTTATGGCGGTAAGCTAACTAACGTTCTGTTCGGACCACGCATGTTCCTGTTCTCACAATTAGATGCTGACCCCCCCAACCACCCGGGATGGAGTTGGGGGAAGAAGGCGCCTTTCCAGTGCCCATAAATCGCATCGTAAATAAAAGGGCCCGCATCACAATGGAGCCATCAACTTTTGATGCAACTTATAACCGTATTTGGCCATAACGAAGCCAATGGGCCTGCATTGATTGGATATATCGAGCAGAGCATCCTTTAAGCGTCCGCCCATCAACCTCTCAAATGTCCGCCCATCAAAGAGCAGTGATAACACGGCAGTCGGCAGCGTTCGTGCACAAAGACGCTTAATGTTAACGAGCAAATGGCCGTGGAGTAAGTGCACTCCTTTCTCCTTTTATAAATTGTGTTCTGCATAAAGTTTATGCGAACATAATACGTATAGATATATGTATATATATATATATAAATATATTTATAGTCAAGGGTTATCATCGCAGCTGTTTTATCTCGCACAGCTGCTGAAATATGCGCCAGTTCCTTCAGAAATGCTGCCCACTATCTTTGGCCCATCTTTTCCGCGCTGCATGTTCATTTGAAGCGGTTCACCTGCCACTGCCACTGCCACTGCCACTGCACAGCATAAAAACCACTCAGCCGTGCCACATAAAACCAGCAAAAAGCGATGAAATTATGGTGCCTGCTCATTGTGCTGCAGCTACTCACCTCTCGCACTCAATCCGCAACGCCTCGAAGTTGCACAGATGCCCTGCATTCCACGGGAGCTTCTCTGGCCTGGGTACATTAGTTCTCATCCTCCTCCAAATTCCCAGTAGTCTGTTCTATAACAATAAAGCAGGAGTACATAAGTACACACAGAACAAATAAATCATAAAAAATGCCATAAATTTCCATATCAAAATTGTTTTTTTTAAGAATTAGTTTCATTTATACACATTAAAATGCGTTACAGCAATAAAACTAAATACAAAATTAAAAAAAAATTCAGTTTTATAAAAAAGTATTTAATCAAAGATAACATTAGTTTATTTTAAATATATGGTTTGAATACCGAGTATAAAAAAGTAAGATTTAAAACAACTATGAATTCAATAATATATCGTAAAATTCTTATTTAAAGTTTTTATGTGATATTGCTAAAATGTTGCTTATTGACATAATTATAATAATATTCGCTAACTAAAGCATACACAAATTGTCTTATAGGTTAGTTATTAAACATTAAAAATTAGTCCATTAGGAAAAAATTATGGTAAGCTTGTCAAGAACAAAATTTAATTATATGAAATGCGATACTTTATGCACCGGCGGTATGGAAGTATTGGCGCTCCAGCCACGAAAAGTTGCCTTCGAGGCAGGCAACTCGATTATGCTGCAGGTTCCCAGGGAAACGGCAACTTTTCCTGCCACATGACGACTTGTCGGTAGCTGGTCTTGGTTTTTGTTTTGCAGCCCCACGTGCGTCAGAACTGATTAATGAGCTGCAAACGATGTTGAGCGCAACGCCCGCTGCCACGGCATAAATCAGGAACAATCGGGGTTGTACCACATCTATATAGGGGAGATTGCCTTGCAGGCGTGGCATAATTATGCTAATAATGGCGTTGAAGTGGCATTGTTCGCGTGCGCAGACAGCTTGGCATTCATCGCCTGCGTTTCACTTGTTGCCCGGCAGCTGGTTCGCCTTGACAGTTTTAATGTCCTCCAAAGTAAAGACCAGAGGGAGTTGCGAATCAGTTCCATTATATCTTCCTCTCCTAGGGGCCCATAGCCCAAAACTTCGCCGACAATTGGCAGATGTCAGCTTTAAGCCATTTTAAAAAGCAAATGTCTGACAAAGCTGCAACTAAAACTTTTTATACGCCACTTTGCCCGGCCATTCACAACTTGTACGTGGCAAATAAGAGTGCACCCGGGGACCGCTTGCGTATCGCTTGCCAAATGGGATAGACAACACTCCCTACTCGGCGCTGGCTTGGCCTGGAAACAGATTTAAGTATGCAGTTGTAAGCCATAAAATCAGCTTAATACTTCCGCCGAGCCACAAAATCTGAATTTATAGTCAACACAAGAAGAGCTCGCAAAAATTAGGTTCAGTTGAAGCAGTCGATTCACGGGTTACCCAACCGAATGCTCTTATGGCTTGTTTTAACAGATTTGTAAGTATAATGTTAAAGAAGAAGAAGACGTCACGTATTTTAAACAAAACTTAAAAATAAGTGATGCATAGTAAAAAGATTATTGTCTCTGGATAAAGTAAGATTACAATGATTTTACATTTGACTTAATAAAGACTTCTTTTTTAACAATCTTTCAAACTACACGCTACAATAGGAAATATGATTTATAATTTTTGCTGCAGCAGAGCGAATGAAAAAATGTTGTTTAATTTGTATTGTTTGTTGTTAAGACAATTGTATAACTACTTCACGTCACAAAGTTTGATAATTGATAAATGTTGCATGATGAATGTTACCTCGTTAAGAGGACATTGCATGAACAATAATGTTTGTTATATATTTTCTTATTTTTTTAATCTAAGTTTATATATTAATTTTTTTATTTTTAAACATAAAATGTTCTTCTATCTATAAGTTTGTTCTACAACTTATGAAACAACCTAAACTCTTTCTAAAAATACAACATCCCTTCGTAAGGGTATCAGAACTAAAGGTCTTAAATAAAAAGTAAGAGTCCTAACGAGAACAAATGTATTGCCGCTGTTGCATAAGACTCGTTTCTGGGTTTCTCTGGTGAGGAGCACCTTGTGACACGGTTCGATTGGCAGGTCAGTTGGTCACAGGAATTTCTGTTGTTGTTGCGCCTTTGATAAATGCAAAAACTGTCGACCTAGCATCAGGTTTGCTTTCGCCCTCTGTGCTGCTCATTTGCCAAGTTTCCATATTCATATCAAGCAAAGTGAAAGTGCTTGATTAGCAAAAAAAAAAAACAAAATAAAGAAATCTGCCTGCTTATGGGAGTATCGAGGTATAAACATATGTGTACGTGTGGAATGACTGATTGGCTGTCATGTCGGTGATTAGTGTTTATGCAAATGAGTTCTAAAGACTTGGCCCAGGCATATAAATCAATGCTGAGGTCGGGCCAAGACAAGTTTCCTGGAGCAAGATGAGCAGCAGCCACAAGTGGACGAGGCTGCTCTTGATGGGCCTGATTGTTCTTTTGAATTGCAAAGGCAATCCCTTGGGTAGAAATGATGATCCACCTTAACGAAGCCCATCAACTAATGAATTTTCTCTTCTCACTTAGCAAGGCGGCTAAGGTTGCGACCCCTGAGACAACCGGAGATTCAAGAACTGGAGAATTCTTTGCCGGAGGGTCGATCAGTTTCCAGTGGCTTCGCTGCCCTCTCTGGCTTTGCCCTGGGCTTGGGCAAGGCCCTCACTGGCGTCTTTATTTACGACGTCATAACTGCCAATATAACCGAGGTCGAACAGAGCAATGTTTCAGCGAACAGTGGTTCGATTAGGGAGATATGCTTTGATTCTGGCAACTCCAATTCAGATATAACTTGTATTGTTTATTACAATAATAACTAAGAGCTATCTAATACATTTTTATAAATTATTGTCGGTCCCATAGACATTTCTACGCCTAAAAAAATATTACAATTAAGTTCATGTTTGAATGCTTAAATTTGGTCATACTTATCTTCATAATTTGTATATAAGTTACAGCATTAAATAATGTTCGCTTTTTAATCGAGCTGGATTCCATCTTGAAAGTAAGTATTGTTCCAATTAACTAATCACTTAAAACTAATTTAGTAATTTAAAAATTATTGGATTCGAATGTTAAATGTTTTTTATAAACCTTTTATTAATTAGGCGTTCAAACTATTTCTTCCGATTTTAGAACTACATTTTTTTATATCAAAAAAACCTTTATAAGTCGCAATACCTCCAGATTGGCTGTGATTTTTAAACGAAGAAGTCACGCTTAAGCATTATCATTATTCTTATTAATGGTCCTAATAAAACCAGTTTTGGGGTCGCAGCCCCGTCTGGGGTCAAATCATTTTTTTCTGCGGAATTTGGGAATTTGCATATGCAAAGCTTGAAACTTTCTTTGGCTTCTCGTCACAGATAAAAGTGAAGCAGAACCCGTCGGCTGTTTCAGTTGGGTTTCTACGCGATTACGTGAAAGATCGTCGGGAAGATGAAATCGTTTGGGTATTTGACATTTGGCCTACTCATCATCACCGCGTGCATCAGTGCCGGTGTAGAAGGTGAGTTGTGAAAGTGTAACTACTTATTAAAATCCTACCAAAAATCCAGCCTATGTGAAAAGTGGCTTATGAAATATGAACGTTTCTTTTTTTTAAGGGAAAGAATACCGCAATTTTAAATTCAAATTTAAAGACCAAATTGGAATCAATTATTTGGCTAACTGAATTTACCTTTATCCATCTGCAGCTCGTCGCCTGGCCCTTCGCCCATTGTCTGGAAGGGAACTTCGCCGAGCTCTGAGGGAATCCGGCATAGACACGCATTCTGAAGCTGGAAGATCGGTAGCCTCTGCCTTGGCCGGGCTCAGTGGATTTGCCCTGGGCATCACCAAAGGAGTGGGCGGCTCCATTCTGTTCGATGTGGTCACCTCGAATGTGACGATTGACTACCTTACCAGTCTGCTGAACTCCACCGCCTCTTCAACGAATTCAAGCAGCACCGGCACCGCCCAGGAGATCTGCTTTAATAGCCGCAGTGTCGACGGAGAGGTGATCAATGGAAGGAGCAATGATGACATGGATGAAGGGCAATGGAGACAGGATACTACTACTGGCGTTAGCTCACCTACTACAACTTCACTAACTACTTCTCCAGGTACTACTACAGGTACTACTACAGGTACCGGTACCGGCAATCCTGGAATCACCTGCATCGTCCTCTCTAAAGGACGTCGCAGGCGTCAGCTGCAAATTCGACCTGGAACATTGCGTTCTGCGACCACCAAACGTCGTTCATCTCACCGCCCGTCACTGAAAAAGTACCGCAGGCATAGGCTCTAAGCCAACACAAGCCCTACTTTAAGTTAACTTATTTATTGATTTCGATTAGTTTATTAAAATTAAATTGTTCCGAATTTCGTGGTTGGCCCTTATTAATGGTCGGATGACTTGGAGAAATCCTGGATTGACATATTTTATGATTTGCTGACATGCACTCTGGGCTTCATCGAAAGACATTTGGCGGGGAAAGTGAACTCGCTATCGAAAACGAAACACACACGCTATCGCATGTGACACACACGAAGGCACCGAGAGAAAAGAAGGTTTGTTCATATACCTCGCCCTAAATAAACGATGGAAAATTCTTCTTTGTAATTGGAGCCTGTTAAATCCGTTTTCTTTTGGTCCAATATTTTTCCTCTGTGTGCCCATTTGCAGCGTCACGCATATCGCAGTGGCAGAATGGTTATTAATACAAACGGGCAGGCACGCAGTGTGCCACTCCCACTTCCCCTTTACTTTGCCTTCGGTCCTTATGTAAACATTGAAATGTCATTGCCGTCGAGGGCAGCGGCCCGGCCACATAAATCCTCCTTGGCCACAATTTATTAACTTTAACACTAGCCGATGTCAACGGCACCCCCTTTCCGGCATTTTCTTCGGCTCCGCTTATTGATTTGGATATTTGGATTTATGTGGTCCGAGGACCTCTACCCACAACTTTGAATCTTCTTTCACGACGAAGCTAAATGCAGTGTTTATGTTATTGTCTGATCCCAGTGTCTGTCAATGCTTAAGCAGGAGTTGCATTAGGGACCATTTATTATTTATGTTAATGCCTGGAAAGTTCTGTCATGGTCTGAAAAAGTAGTCAGTGATTAAAGTGCGGCAGCGACACGACCAAACTCAAATTACCATATCTTTGCCTCTTCAAACGGCCATTGAGACTTTCTCAAAGCGTACATATGGTAATGACAGTCAAAACTCTATAAAGTAAATTGAACTGGAACAAAGAAAATACACAATGTCCTAATGAAAAAAGTTTTAAAATGGTTGTATTAAATTTTTTGTAAGGTACAAACGTTGCATTTATTTTAAGAACTTTATTAAATTATTTGTATTAATTTAAATGCTTAATTATATATATCCCAAAAAAAGGTTGTTTTGATAATTCATTTTAGTTAGCATAATTTTTATACATTGAATTCGTAATAAGTTTTTATTTGCGCATACTTATCGCTCTTAAAAGATCTTATTTTAAAAGATATTTTTAACTAAGTTTAACTTATATTTTTGAAATAATTTATATTTTATAGACAAATTTGTATTGGTTTCATAGATTAAGCTTTGGTTACAAATTTCCTTATATCATTTTGTTTTCTTTGCCGAAAATTCGGCTTAAGGAAACTCGACTGTGTGCTTGTATATTCATGAGCGAATCAGCAGCAAAACTACAATTATTTTGCACTTTAGCAGCGCAGAGAAAGCCAGCTTAATGACCGGGGCCATGACCCCAGAAGGGCAGTTGGTGGTCCCCTCCTAAGCCTTTGCCAGAAATTGCGTACTAAATGCGCTAAATTACTAACTAAATGCCGCAAGTGCCGCCCCTGGGCATGGCTAGAATTTCACAAATGAACGCCCTTCTCGGGTTGGCGGGGGTGGAAAATGGCCAGAGGGGGTTGGTATTCTGGGTAGTAGCAAAGCCGAAAAACTGAAGTCAACCCAAAGCGAAAGCGAAAGCCAAAAACTGCCGACAGTCGATGACATTTGAGCGATAAGGGAAACTGTTGTGTGGCTTACTTGGTAGCTCCCCCAGTGATTTTCCATATTGGGCGGGGAGGGGAGGGAGGGGAGGGAGGAGGGAGAGGGGGTCAGAGTTCGAGGGCAGATGTGCTGCTCCTTGTGATTGTTGTTGGCATTAAGTATGCAGGCGTGTGAATTGTGAGGGGATGAAATACAAATAGTAAATGCTCCTCTGGCCTTGGTCTTTTGCAAGCATTTTTACAGTTGCTTTTTACAACATTGAAAATTGTTTTAAATGTTAATGTTGATGTTGCGGGCCTGATAATAAAATCGGGCGAAAGTGTGGCAGGATGGGCATTCCGAAGTCAACAAATAATTGAGATGTTTTGCGGAGGCCCTGAGTGTCGTCACACACGCATTTATTCAGCGCCACCGCCCCCAAATCCACCCAAATCCGCCCACTTTCTTTCCTTTCTCCCCGGTGGCTTCGAGTCAGCTGTGAAGAGTGCGCGCACTTGTGTTAAATTATGCGGGTTTGATTTTTATTGCACTGCCGCTCATTTCTTTTTCCCTTTTCCGTTTGTTTTCCTTGCTTTGGTTTCCTTTGTTTTATAGGTTTTCCCCGATGAGATGGGGGCCTCTCACACCCGCAATCAAATTCATCTCGAAAGTATAAACAAGTTGCAGGCCAGAAGTGGGGTGACGAGCACGCGTGTGTGTGTGCGGCCGTAATTTGGTCATGCCTCGTTGCCCCAACGAGCTGTTGCTTGGCATTTCAATTAATGGCACTTGCCACCCTCGTATCCCGCCTCCTCCGCCCACTCCTGCCCTCCAAGGGGTCATCTCGACCGCCGCTGCACTCCTAATGAAGCCATCTCCAGCTCCAGTTCCAGCTTGAGAACCAGGGACACAGCCCTGACTCCCCCAAAACGAAAGTTATGGTTTTTCCACATCTGGCTTGTTGTCAACAGAAGTCGAGGTACATCTATACACCGGAAAAAAACACAATTAAAATTGGATGGATTTAACTTACGGTCCTCGACTCCAAACCACAAAAAACTATCTCCGACCGCAATTTCTTTAGAATTAAGAAAAAATCGTTTTCTTGTGACCGAAGACAAATAAAGTAAAGTATCATAACTAATAAACCAACCAGAAATTTAAAAAGAATTAGAAACAATTGAAATAAGAGCATTTTGAAAATTTGGTTATGACTCCAACAAAAAAATAAAAATTTATTATTCAAATATATATTCAAAAAATATTTGCACATAAATAAAATATGTAACATTCATATATATTCTCAAAATACTATTTGCACACTTAAGTCCCTTATTATAATTGTTAATGGATTAAACATTTGCATTAACTATTTTGTCTATACTTGTTCTTGTTATGCACAGCTTTCAGTTACCTCAACACAACTGAAAGTACAAGCTCAGTCTGTTTTTTTTAGTGCACGATTGCAACTTCGCGACGACACGTGACCGCAGGGACAACGGCTGGGCCTGAATATGCCGCATCGCACGTCTTAATAGATTTTTGATTTGTTTGTTCACCCCCAGAATCATCCTCCCCTTTACTCCGGATCCATATCCGAATCCAAATCCAATTGTGAGCCGAGCGTGCGTCTCTGATTGGAATAATGATGTGGCAAACGAATCTGGAACATAAACGGAGCCAGATTTGTCGAATTTTTGGGGAGTTCCTTGTTTGTCAATATAGAAAATCAATACGGAGCGGAGCCTTTTCCTATTGTTTTGTCACTACCCCTCCGTTAAAGCAGCCGGGTAATTCAATAAAGAAATCACGGGAAATAGGGGGAACTGGGCTTCTGTCAGGTGGATTGAGCGCTCAAGGCCCCGAAAAGGAAGATTAAAAGCGAGACCTGAAAGTTTGTCTGTTCTGTTCTTTATTTCTGGCGGACAAGATGGATGTGGGATGGGAAGGTATTGGGCAAAATTTTACAAATTGTTTCAATTAAAAAGTTTACTGATTTTGCTTTTTCGCCTTTTACTTTATCTATAATCGGCTTGCGATTGACACGTGCCCCTACCACGCCACGCCCCCCCCCCCCCCAAAGCTCCTGCCTTAGTGTCTATCGTCTATCGAATGGTGTAATCGCTTTTGGGGCGCTAATTGCGGCGACCTTGGTTGTGGGGTGTTTATAAGTCCGCGTCCGCAAGTTGATTGCATAATACTGGAACTGTCCGTCCAATACAGTCCGACTTTGGGCAATAGGCAGTGGGATGTGGGAAGTGGGCCAGTCGTAAGCTGGGAAAGCCAAAAGCTGGACCAATTAATTAAATATAATCAGCTGGAAAAAAGTTCAGTCCAATCTGCAAATATATTTCACAGTCGCTAATTAATTTAATTGATTTAAACGCTTCGGCTTGATCAACGGCGGGGAGGTCGGCGGGGGCTATCGAGTGCATTTGATCTGTTTGTTTGTTCAAAATTAAATTGACTTGTAATTAAAAGTTTCGCCATTGATTGAAATTCTCGTGTGTGCTTTTTCTTTGTGTACGTGGCTGGGGGATGAGTGCCGACAATAAAACCGCCGAAGGGAGGTGGAAACAAAAAAACTGCTAATTACGAGCATTAATTAAAAATGAATTCTTTTTTGGTCGATTAAACTGCTGGAAACTTAGAGCTGAAACCAATTTCAAGCGCGGGGAAATTTTCTCTTCACCCTCAGCGCGTATAAGAGCGAACTCTTATACGGTGTCTTAACTGACCTACGCCAGGATATATTCCCTTGGCTTTTCTTACTGTTTAATATCCTAAGGTATTCCATAAAATATGGTTTATTGAGTTAAATATTCTTTTTATTATTATTGATCTAAAATTTGAATTTCAATATTTCATATTTATAGAAAAATTGCAAGTTTTTCATTTGCGTTTAGCTTGTAACATTTTTAAATACTTTATTAGTTATAACCCAAAATATCAATGTACACATACAGGATAAATAATAAAAAGTCACGTTCAAAAATTGCTTACTAAATGTTATTCAACCAGAGTCATACCTACTCTATACAGCTGCACAAATTTGTTATAAAACCTAAAAAATTTCATGTTTTGAGAAGTCAGTGATAAAAAATCCATATGAAAATTCACATGGTTGAATGTGGAAATTATCAACCTAAGGTATGGGAAAAAGCATTATTTACAAATATTTCAATGAAAAGGCAATAACGTGTGAGTGCCTGGAATTGCACTTGCAATAAACAAACAAAGAGTCTTAATAGCTCCACTCAAAAGTTGCTAAGCAATTTCGTGCTCCAATAACCCGGCTGAAGAGAGCATTTCTCTTGCCGCTTTCTCTCTTCGCTCTTAGCCCTTGGCCGAATGGGGCCGAGTGCCGAAGGCAGCCGAATGTGGAGCATTCGTCATACCACTGGCTGCACGAGCTCCGATTACTATTCAGTTCCATCCTGCGACTCGAAAGCGAAGCACGCGTTTCTTGATTTATGTGCGCGGAATTTTAGCCAAATATTTTGTCAGACTTGTGTTGTGTGGAGGGTGTCAGGCCTAATGAGTCTACAGGCCTGCGTGTTAATGGCGAATTAATGACGGGCGATTAAAATGCAATAGCCACATGCATGGGCCCAGTAATGAGCTGAACCAACCACCACTGTAAAGTGAACCAGTGCTATAAATTAGAGTCCCCTCCGAGTGTTGCCTACTTAGTGGCTTTTGGGCTTACGATCTGTTTGAAGTGTTCAGAGCCCGTTAAAACCTTTTAACCAACCTACACTCCCCCAACCCAAAAAAAAAAGTTGTGTAAAACGGTTTAAGCAAAACAAAACACCAGAAAGACCCAAAAAAAAAAAAAACAAAAAATAAAGGAAAACTCTTAGTGAAAGCGAACCAAAAACAGGGCCAAGCCGAGAATACACTTTCATTGCTCCCCAGGCAGAGCTTAGCCGAGAGTTGGGCCCGGCTCTAATTTGACGGAATCGTTAGTTGACCAGCCAAGTCCTCCCCCGTGCTGGCGGATCGCGTGCCGACTACAAGCGTAATAACAATAAACTTGCGGATAACAACCACAGATACAGCAGCAAAATGTCCCTGCCATCCAGAGCCAATTTCGGATTACTCAACTGGCTCATCGGCTGGCTGCTGCTGCTGTCGATGGTCCTGCTCAGAGGTGAGTCGTCGGGCTTTTTAATTAAATAATCCAATTTATTTTCATTTAATTTCGAATTAAATTTAATTTGTTTGCGCCAGGCGCTGGCAGTTCTAATTGCCCCCGACCCAGTGGCCCCATGCAAACCCTCTCGAAGGTTTTCCTTTGTCGCCTTCTAATTTCCGGAAAACATGGGCGTTCCGGAGCGGTTGGGGGTGTGGGCAGAATGCGAATTGAAATTCTTTAATTTTTGTGCTAAGAATTTTAATTTCGTTACAAAGTCGGAAAAGTTTCCCCTTTTGTCTCTGTTTGTTCTGGCGCAAGTCAAAAGGTGAAAGCATTTAGTGCCCATCTGTGTGTGAGCCCCAAAAGCGGAGAACCCACAAACGTTCAGGCCAAATAGAAGCATACACAGAGGAAAAATAATGACAGTCAGTTTTTTTTTTATATATATCCTTACCTTCGTTTTTTTAGGTTTCCTTATGTAAATCTTTACTTTTACTTAACTCAGAGCTTGGCAAAATAATAGAACTGTTTTTACAGCACACGTTGGCAACATTTATGTTTCCTTAACTGAATGAGTGTTACAAAGTTAAAAAAACAAACATTTTTTTATTTATTTACAAACTTTAAGTTTAAAGTTATAAGCTACAGCTACACAAATTGGCAGAGGCCATATTATATAATTGGGCTTTGGCAGACTTTATTGTGAAATCAATTTAACATTATTTTATTGATTGTCGTTGTTTAATGGGGTTAAATTGAATTCAATCGGATCGCCTTTGTTGGCCGATATATGTTTTTAATTAAATGTTTAAGACCAACTGTAAAATAACCATAATTATTGGTATAAAATTCTACTTCAATTTGTTTTAGTAAGATAAATTATTGATAAACAGTCCATTTAATGTTGCCATATTATATATGTGGTTTTCGTGTACCGGCTTTCAAATCAAACATTTAAATCAAGAGTTTAATACTTAAATGCAAATATGGTTATTAATTACTGTGCAATTATGACCCAATGAGTTTAAATTGAACATTTAATGCACAAAGTGCTGTGCAATCAAGAGCTCAATACTTAAGTGCAGATACGAGTTTTATTTCCCGTGCAGTCATGACCCAGTCCTAGTACTAGTCCCAGTCCTAGATTCGCCATCATCAAGGTTGGTCCAGCGACCGTTTGAAGGGTCTGGGGATGAATGGCGAACCGCAGAGTGCGGCTGCCACATGCAACGTGTGAGTTGGCGAGTGTGGGCTGGGCAAACAGTTTCGTATAATACTTCCCAACACTGGGCCAGAAGTCTCACTTTCAATGCATCAAATGGGAGGCACGCACAGCCACCGCGTTTGAGATAGAATTGTGGCAAAATAAAATATAAAGCAAAAACTAACAAATACTAACGAGCGACAGACCCTTGGAAAATGCTGTTGAAGCTTGGTCAGGGCCAAAACGCTGCTGGCTGCAGCTGCAGTTGCAATTGCTGTTGATGTTGCTGTTGATGTTGCTGCTGCGTTACATGTGGCATGTTGCAGTTGACACACGAAACTATTGCAATTGTGTTTGGCTTTTGGGTTTTCAGTTTCTGGTTTTAGCTGTCTGCTCGCTGGCTTTCAGCTTTCAGCTTTAAATTTTCTGCTCTCCGTTTTGCAGCCGCCGTTTGTCATTTCTGAAAACAGTAAATTGCATTTTTATACAATTTTGCATCATTTGCCTTGGCAGTGGTTCGTCTGGGCTTTGTAATTTTCAAATGAAATACTTTCCGAATGCAATTCACTTTTGCGAAATTGTTTCCCTTGTCTTGCTTTTCTTTGACTTGCCAGTTCGCCTTCCACTCGCCCATTTTGTTGGCCTTCTGGCATCTGTCTGGCCATTTCATTTGGCTAAAAGCTACTTGAAGTTGGTTAGGCACAGACAAACAGAAATTACTCATCTTGGCAATGGAAAATCTGCAGAAAGGCACGAAACCCAAGCAAATTCCTGGCGCATCATTGGGGAATGCATTCTGCTAAGACCCTTTGTTTTTGCTAAACTGATAAATTTAGGTAAAATGGCCATAGATATAATGATGATAATTATATTACCCTAGTAATGTTTTCATTATATGATTATGGATTTTAATATGAATGTGGAAATAGCAGAAACAAAAGGTATATTTATTAAATAATCTCGTCATGTTGTAGTTGTTGTGATAAAATAACTTAATATGCTAAGTAATAAATAATTCAGGGTAGTTGTAAGCGGTGCCTGCAATCTTAATTGTTTACAATATATTTCAGTTGCATATCGTCAATGTCAGTGTGTTTTAATATTTATCCTTGTATAAATATTATTCGTATATATATATATATATATTTTTAAACCTAATAGTCTTTATGATTTTTAAATTGCCAACTTTGACAGAAAGGCTTTATGATATTTTAAGGAATCTTTTTTTGGTCCAATAGACCAATAATTAAAAAATGGTATTTGCATGTCCAAAAAAAGTTTTTATTGAAAAAATGAATATATAAATTTTGTTGCATGTTTGTTTGCACAGAGATGGGAAGTTTTGTTTCTTTTCCTCAAATTAATTGACAGGGAAAACTCGATAAATTTTGGCAGATATTTCCATAATGAATTCATAAAAGTTTCGATCGTGTCCTTTCGCGGTCTCATGTTATTTGGTTTTCTGGTTTATTAATAAATAAATTTTGCCCTTGCGGTTTGGATGTTTGTATGTGCGTGTCACGCTGTATGCAAAACTGCACTTATTTGCACAGCTGTTTGCCATTTAAGGCAAACAAACGGGTTTCCCTTTTTTTACCACACAGCTCGCATGTCGCGAATTTTTGCCCAGTCGCTATTAAGTATTTTTGTAAATATTTCTCGTGATGCTAAAAAGGGAAAAATTATTGATTGAGCAGAGAAAAGATAATAGCTGACGTGATTTCCCGTTGAGTCCAGTTAATGCTGAAGTTATGCGCCTGTGGAGCGGCATAAAAATAATTGATTGTGGAGTGATTGCCAATGGGCGGAGCACATCATTCAGCGGTGTCAGACTGATGAATGAACCGACGCATTGGCCCAGACAAATGCCGAACAGCACGCACATTCATCCATTTCCATTCGCCGAGTTCTGCGGAGGCGCCTCAAAGTATGCAAAGCACATACTCAAGGGTTCGCAGGATCTATTTGCCGGCGGGTCCAGGTTATTCACACTTGCTTCGGGGAAAAACCCAGCGGCTTCTTCAAGGCCGACAAACAATATTCATTGGTCGTGGGCGGCAGACCTGATTTCTTCTTCATATTTTCCCTGCACACATAGATATGGGTACAAAATACACATATTTTTTATTCTCAAAAGCCGCTCCAAGAAATAAACTTTCTCTGTTGTTGATTTAAATGGCATATGGCTTTACATGAATTTGTGATAAATGTGTGGCTAAAAGTTCAACCGGAAGGGCTCCAGACTACGTTTTGCATACGGAGTTTAGAGAGCAGCTCAAAGAGTGTCATTAATCATTTAATTGACGAGGGGCTTCAGTCAAGGATGATCAAGGACTACATGAAGTGGTGTAAAGCTGTTGAAACTGGCTTTTAAATAATATATAATATGGTAGGTTTGATGCTAAAAAATTCGGTACATGTCCTCAGTTTAAAATCTACTATCACATTAATACGAAAAGAAAAATGTTTTAAAACGATTTTTTAGTTTTAAATACAAAAAGATTCAACTTACAACATATACAACACATTTTTTTGATCATACTTATTGTGTGTAATATTTATTTAATCGTGATTTAGAGTTGTTTTTATCTTTAATTGTGTATCTTGAAAAAATAACAATTGTTTTTGAGAAAATAATAATAATACTAATACCATGATATGATTTTAATATTTAAATTTTTAACTTGCAACAGTTTCTAATTTTTTTTTGTTTAATTTTAATGTTATATATGCACACAACTTATTAACTATTCATATGAAGGATTCACAACGTTTGCAATCGATTTTCAGTAGTTAAGTACTGTCAAATAGTTTCTTAATTAAACTGCTGCTTCAAAGTTTTGTGCCGAGAAATGTCGAAAAGTTTCGCAAGTTGTTGACATCAAAAGTATATATTTTTGTAGGCAAATCCAGGGGTTATCTTATTTCGCCCACATTTCTAGGCAGGTCAAACCGCCAAGATTATTTTTTTATAAATAACACTTATGGATTTGACATTTATATGACAGCCAAGGTTTTTGTGTGTTATATGTTGCAAGCAAGGTTGTGTTGTTGCCTCTTCGGCCCCTTGAGTGTGTGCTTTTGTTGTTTGTTTTTTAGGTTTTCGTCAGGAAAATATAAATGAAAATTGTTTTTATTTTGCCACAACCGGAGCTATGCTTCTGGGGATGCGGAACGCGGAATATGTGAGGCAGTGCGTAAATACATATATGAGCATTATTTTTTGATTCACTTGGCACAGAGTTTTCTAGCTGAACTCAACTATTTCGGTCACGTAACTATAGAGAAGAGCAGAGAAAACTTCGTCAGCCGAGAAAGAAGAAAATTTATGCATTTGATGTGAACTAATTTTCAGAGTCCAAGCATGGTTGCGAATTGTTTTGTTTATTGTCGGGCAAATTATATGCTGACATAAATTAGCTCAAACTAGAGTGCTTCGGGCCCCCTCTTCGTTTCGACTCCTGGCATTGTTTGGGCTTGTTTTTACGACCACCGAACAGCCTTGAGCCAGAATACTCGGCTATTAAAAAGCACTTCACAATCGAAAACTCTTCACCAGCTGCGCTTTCTCTCAGCTTTTAGCTCGATTTTATTTTAAAGCCTTTAGCCAAAGTGGCAACCCAAATTGAACCAAAACACTCGCAGACAGACAGACAAGGGTCGTAAAACGGATATACTCGCTATAAGTTTTGAGATGTCGATAAATCCACAGGAGCAACATAAACCAGTTGCGCGCCACTAAAAATCGTGTAGGCCCCAATGATTTCCCAAGTAAAATTCGTTTTATTAACACCGGGACACGTCACACGTG